TCTCATGCTACTACTGATTTGGACATCCATTATTCTTTCTGCCTGATCCAGACCTTTTGGCTTCATTCAGTCCAAACAGGAAGGTCACATCTTGTATGAACATCACACACCTGATAACATCATCTAATTCAGTGGAATCCTATAGAAAGGAGGCACTCAGGAAAGCATTGCTTCCAGATTAGCATTAGGGCTCTGTGTTCAGTACTATGGTAGCCTATTCCACAAACTACACTTAAGCCAGGCACCATGAGTCACACCTGTGATCCTAGCTAGCTACTTGGGAGACTGAGATTGGGAGGATCATGGTTGAAGACCAGCCTGGGCAAATAGTTGTGATATCCCTCCATCTCCAAAATAACAAGAGTAAAATGGTCTGGAGGTGTAGCTCAAGCACTGGAGCACCTGTTTTGCAAACATGAAGCCTGTGTTCAAACCCCAGACCCACCAAAAAAATTTTTAAAAAGATTCAGTTTAAGAGGTGCTATTCAGAATACAAAAGAAAATTTTCCTCATGGCATTTGAATGGCAAAAGTTTCTTAGACACAGGGTCTACCAAAGAAAAAAGATCAATAAATTGAACTTCATAAAATTAAAAGTAAAACAAAAAACACCCCCAAAACATGCCCTCTAAAGGGAAAAAGGAAAAAATTAGGGAACACTGAGATTGGGATTTCAGAGGTGTAGCCTGATCAGGTAGCTTCCTGTCCCATCTTCACTGTAATTTGTGTGCTGCAGTGCTGTGTTCCCGTTTTGGGGTAAAGTATTTAGCCCATACTGCCCTCGTCAAAAGGGAGTCACTACCCTATGGCAAAGCTGTCTTGATGTCCTTTCTTTAGTTACTTTGTGAGTCAGCTGTTCTATTACTTAATAGTGCCATTGATCTGCAAATGACAGGCTGCCTGGAAAGTCCATCATATTACATTACAGTGTGCTCATTGTTGTGTTGTGGGGGCAGTAAAGGATGTATTTTTGTCAGGATGACTTCATGGGATTTTCAAAAACATGATGTAAGTTTTTCTCAAGGCCTATTGTTATAGTTCCAACATCCATGTCAAGGACATATATTTTGTCCCCTTCTGGACAGCAAGCTGTTACCATAGTCCTTGTCTCCATACAGGGGATTCTTTAATAATCACGTAATCTCATTGTCATCCTTCCAACTAGATGGATGGGCTAGTAGCAATGGCCCATGCTACAGTGAAACTGTAACAAGACATGGTGGTAGGAGTAGACTGTGTGTAGTCTGGCCTATCGGGCAGAATGTACATGTTTAGCCTCAGTCAAAAGATGGTCAGAGACTAGCCAGATGGCATCTGTAGCCTAGCACACCCTCGTCTACGTGATGTTTTTCAGAATTATCAGTAAACCATGGAATACTGTCGGTAGGCATATCTGAGTCTCAGGCTCCAAATGGCCAGAGGAAGAGCCAAAGCATCCATTGTGGGTTGCTTAGTCCTTTTGATAAGCTAGTTGTTCAGGGAGCCTGCTGATTCCTTGGGGTTCCAGTTGAGCCTAATCTTGAATGTATCATTTCCATTTGAGCTCTGTTGAATTTGTCCAATTTTATGGGTGGAGATTGTGAGTAGCAAGTGACAATGGGCATTTCATGCTGCTGTATTACATGTGGCATCCTGGCCATAAGATGTTCAGTCTTAGTAAGAAGAGAAGAGATGCCATTCAAAAGAATGCAACTGATGGATGCCTTGGCAACTAGTGTCCAAAATCTGAGCGCTTGGTATACTGGTGGAAGATTGCTGTTGCCACAGACTCCAGTCAGCATATATGAGGCTGTGCACCTCTATAATTTTGTAAGGCTAGCAGACTCGAAAGGTTTCTAAGGCAGTGTGTAGATCATGGGTGTTGAACAGCTTCCAAGGCCTGCTGTTGCAAAAGTTCTCATTCTAAGTTGGCAGCTTTTTGGGTCACCTTTACTAATGGAGCCAAAGGGGTACATGCTCTCACCAGTACCAAAGAGGCCTACCAGCCATTGGACTTTCTTTTCATTCATAGGTGCTGCTATAAGTGGGACTAAAAATAGAAAAACTTTTGGTGTAACCAGCTTGCATGCTAGCCAGATTGCTATGGAATGAAATTAACAGTCATCCAGAAAAACAATTTTTACTATACAATAATATAAAGTAAATGTTAGAAGGTTCTACAGCTGGGTATAGTTTATTCCCCGAGGCTTTACATGTTGAGGCCCACTGACGTTAACAGAGCAACTTGTGATATATAGCTGTGTCTTGCTGACCTGTAGCGCTGACAGCCTGAGATGGTTTTAACCATCTAAGGCCAAAACCTCCCCCACCTGACATGTAGGAGGAGTTGATGAAATATAATCCAGTTCCCATGAAAGTCCTTCTCCTTCTCCAGGGACAGCCACCCCCATGACTGTAAGGCTCAATAGCTTGAGATCCTTTGGTCAGTCTCATTCTTGAGCCTTCCAGCTCTCCCATCTGGAGAGTGTACTTTCACTTTTCTTTGCATTAATAAACCTGCTCCTACTAAATGTCCTTTGTGTCTACCCTTGAATTGTGTCACCCTTGAACTTGTTATGCAAACTAACGTTTTCCCCTTTGTCTCTCTCACTGTGTCTACATGCTGGAGAGACCAAGGTTAACACTCTTTACTCTCCAATCAAACCCAGACAGTCTTCCTCCCCTTATCCCTCTCTGACCATCACAGAAGAGTAAAACCAGGCACCAGTGGCTCACACCTGTGATCCTAGCTACTCAGGAGGCAGAGATCCAGGAGAACTGTGATTTAAAGTCAGCCTGGGCAACTAGTTCATAAGATCCTATCTTGAAAAAATCCATCACAAAAATAGGGCTGGTGGAGTGGCTCAAGAGATAGGCTCTGAGTTCAAAACCCAGTACCACAAAATAAAAACAAAACCTGTCAACCAAACACACAGCTTCAGAGATGTGGTGTCAGTAATCCAGGAGAATCAAGGCCAGCACTATTCTAGGATGTGTTTTATCACATACTGGAACTGGGCCTCTGAGTCCCCCCTTTAAAAAGCAGACATTTTCTCTCAGAAGTGGGATGACATAGCTTTGAGAGGTTGTTTCTCCTTGTCCTCTTCTTCGTCTGGTGAATAATAAACCATATTTCCTTTTCCTTAAAATCCTGCTCTCATTATTTGTAAATTGGCATTGAAGTCAGGGGTCATTTTTGTTTGACTACATCTGAAATACTTTTTTGACTTTTTTTTGACTTCTCACCCAAGTGGCCTTGGCATTAAGCCTGTAGCAGTGTATTGTTAGTCCCCATATCTTGAAGAGTTGAAGGTCATTTTTTTGTTTGTTTGTTTCTGCTTTGGTTTGGTGTGGGAAATAGAACCCAGAGCCTCATGCACACTGAGCACATGCTTTACATCTCCAGCCCATCAAAGTTCTTTTTTGGCCAGCTGAATTGAGCTGTTACTTTGTGACAGAGCGTGCTGTGACATTTTTGTCTGCAATTCTTTTATTTTTTGGAGGTTGTAGGGATTGAACAAGGGTCTCACACTTAAGCATGGGCTCTACCACTTGAGCCCATGCCTCCTTTCCCCATCTGTAAGGTTTTGAATTAACTCAATAATTTCCCCTTCTCCACTTAGGAGGCAATGCTGTTTTTACTGAATTAACCAATTAGAGTATAAGCAACTTAGGTGCTTTGGAGTGGTTATACGCTACTGTTACGTCTTAGCAGAACTCAAGAACTCTGGGAGGAGCAGACCCCTCGGGGGTGATGATGTTTTGTGCCATGAACAGCCAAGATACAAATGTCTATAAAGTACCCAGTGGTGGGAACTGCAGTACCAGCACCTGAAATGGCTCAGAGGGTCCCACCCACAGGCAAATAAGCACCACGGATCACTTCATGATGTTTTCCTTAAAGTTCTTAATATATTTATTCAATTCTCCCCCACCCCACTCTCCTTTTTTTTTTTGAGACAGTGTCTCACTATGCAGCCCAGGCTGGCATTGAACTTATGATCCTCTTGCTTCCATCTCCCAAGTGCTAGGATTTTCCTTTTTATGTTGTCAGAAGTATAGGGCCTCTGGCCTTTGGTGAGGACCTGGAGACCTTGGTCCTGTTCCTAATTGCATCATTCCTTTCACAACAACAAAATGTTCTGTCCTCCCTCAGAAACTGAGATAGACAAGGAAGCATATCTTTTCCTCAATTTTGCCCGTATCTGTCCCTGTCTTTCTGTGCAGACCACATTCCACATACTGGTTTGATGCCCACAAACCATCAAAAACATTTTTCCTGTGCCTCAGGATCCATCTACATACCTACTTTATCTAGTTCTCTGCCTTGGAATGCAGTAATTGCATAAGTACCCAACAACCAGGGGGTTATGTACCATGCTCCTACTTTCATTCTCTCTGCCTTGGTCCATGGAGCCAGAAAACACATCTGAAGAGGGTGGAGAAAATATGACCTATGACCCACTTATCACCCTTCCTTCCCCATAAAACCTCTAGTTACATGTCTGAGGACCTGTGTCCACAGGCTAATGTCTCCACCCTGGACAGGTAATGGAAGGTATCACCACCCCTCCATCAATAAGCTATAGTTTAGTCAGACCAGACTCTGCTTTTTTTTTTTTTTTTTTTGGTACTGGGGTTTGAATTCAGGGCCCTCACTTTGAGCCACTCCTCCAGCACTATTTTTGTGAAGGGTTTTTGGAGATAGGGTCTCATGGAACTATTTGCCCAGGCTAGCTTCAAACCATGATCATCCTGATCTCTGCCTCCTGAGTAGCTAGGATTATAGGTGTAAGCTACTGGCACCTGGCCAGACTGCTTTTTGTGCCAATTTTGTGAAGAAGGTTCACTAATAGCCAATCTTCTGAGGGATCTCCCACTGGGTAGAGGATACCAAAGTCCATCACTATGCCAACCATCAAAACCAGCAGTCTAAACACCTCTGCCCACTGCATCCTGGGTTATAGTTTTATCAGTTCCCTTGTCCAGTGAGAGAGGACACACAATATGTACCATGTTACAAGATGCAGATTTATTGCTTACAAATAGGCATCAAGGGACAAAAGAAGTGTAGGATCCATGATGAACTTGTCCTCCGTGGTTCAGAAAGCTGCCCTAGGGTAAATGGAGTCTCCAATGTGTGCCCCATTTGGACTGCAGCTGAGGGACCCTAAAAAGAAGCCAGCTCTGTATTAGGTACCTCAGGGTCAATGTGAGTTACTAATACTTTGGAGGATATCTTGCTTCCAGAGAGAAAAGAGCAAAGACAAAGTTGTCCTGAGATGTTCCTTCCAAGCTGTTATACTGATCAACATCTTCTTAAATTTATCTATCAACATACTTAGTTGGGGATTAATGTCTTTTATATTTCTAGTAATTTTTAAAAATTGGGTTTTCTTTTTAACAAAAATATGTGATTTGTTCTTGTAACAGGTTCTTAAACTGCTCTTGCTGAAATTCATGGGCCCACAAATTAACAAAAGCAGGAGAAAAGCTTGGCATCCCTGCCTCCATTTTATATCCGTTTTGTTCTAAGCCATTGTCTCTGCAGTAACTTTGCAATCACCTTGGGTTCCAAGAAGGACAGGACTGATTGATAACATTTTTATGACAAGAAAGAAAATTTTGTTTGATTTTTCTTTCTGCTCTTGCTATACAGACTCTTTTTCCTTACTTTATTTTTCTCTTCCAGATTCAGGCCTGGTTTTGGAGTCCCCAAAGTACTTACTATACTTTATTACCCTTTTGCTGGCAATGTGGAAAGCAGGCTGGCTGTTACTTCTCTTCTGACTCCACAAACAGAGGTTTTGTAACAAAGCAGATGAGGATGAGGACTTTGGAGCCAGACCTCCTGAGTTCAAATACCAGATCTTCTGTTTACTAGTTATGTAGCCTTTGGAAAATTATTCAAACTGTCTCAATTTCCTTGTGTTTCCAATTGTGAAAATAATAGTAAAAATTCTTGTGGGGTTGTAAGAATTAGAAGAGGCTACATCGTGAAGCACTGAAAGAAGTTCCTGGCTAGCATATTGGCTGTTTTTTTTTCAATTCTCTCCAAAAATGGATGCATATGTGTGGAATAAAAACATAAAAGACTTTGAGCTTTATAGCTTTCCCTGCTAATGGTTCTCAATCTTGGTTGCACATTTCAATCACTGGATTTAGAAATCCTCCTGCCTTGTATATACTAGACCAATGAGATCAAATCTCTCAAAGGAGAGACCAAGGGAGTAGGAATTCCAAACTCCCCTGGTGATTCCACTTTGCAGCCAACATTGAGGACCATTGCTGTAATCCCTGTCCCAAAGAAAATGAAGTGTTTGTTAATTCACTTTTTTTTTTTTTTTGTGGGACCGGAGTTTGGACTCAGGGCTCCACACTTGCAAAGCAGGTGCTCTACTGCTTGTGCCATACCTCCAATCCATTTTGGTCTCACTATTTTGGAGATGGGATCTCATGAACTATTTGCCTAGGGTTGGCCTCTAACTGAGATCCTCCTGATCTCAGCCTTCCAAGTAACTAGGACTACAGATGCGAGCCACCATCGCCCAGCTGTTTATCTATTCTTGCATTAGTCATTGTAGTTTAATATGCTCAGTCAGGTTTTTTTTTTTCCTTTGTAGAATGCAGATCTTAAAGAGATGACTTCAGAGTGAAGTGAAATCTCAGATTCAAGAAACTTTGGAAAAGCTTTCAGGGGGAACTTCTGTAAGGGAAGGCTCCAGGGAGTGCAGGGAGAGAGGTGGAGCTTGCCTTTGGCTCATGCCTCCTCATCTTACCCTTCCTTTAATATTTCAAACTCTTTCCTGCCTCAGGGCTTTTCTGCTGGCTGCTTCTTGTTCCGAGAATGCTCTGTACTCCAAACACTCCACCATCATCCTTCACCTGGGTACTGCCTACTGTCACTTCCAGAGGACCACATTCCTTGACTTTCCAATAAAGTCAAGTTCCTAGGAACCTGTATTGTAACAATTCACCAACATCATTGTTTCCTTCCTTCACAGTAACTATCACATGCGTAATTATTTATTCACTTGTGTGATTATTGGTTCAATGCCTTACTCCTAGCTAGATGATAAATTTAGTTTTGTTCTACTTCCTTATCTCAATGTCTTATGCTTAATTGTGCAGCATTACCAATAGCTCATGAATAAATATTTAATGAATGAATAAATGGAAAGTTTTTGTTTCTTAATTCTGACCAGTGATTAAGAGATTAAAAGTTAGTCTTAAAAAGTGTTTTTGGTTTTCTGGTTCAGGCTGTTTGTGGTATTGATGAAGAAACTGACACTGAGTGTTTAGGTGTTCAAAATAATTCAACTAATTAATAATAGAACTCGATCTCAGGCTCATTTCTTCTATTTTTCATTCTAATGAACTTCCTGATACTAAATTATTTGCTACTGCAGATATAAAACAAGAAGATCAAGAAAGTAACACAGATATGGCATGAAATTAACAGTCATTCAGTAAAACAATTTTTACTGTACAATAATATAAAGTGAATTTTAGAAGGTTCTACAGTTGGGTAAAGTTTGTTCCCCAACACTTCACATGTTGAAATTTAATCCCCATGATGAGGTATTAAGAAGGTAGAAATAATTTAACTATGGTGTTTAGAAAGGGATGACACAGGGGTTAGGCAAGGAGAACATCAGGAAACCTGATGTTCAAGAACAATGGCATGAATGTTAATTTTAAAAAAATCACATTGTGGCCCACTGACATTAACAGAGCAACTTATGACATATATCTGTGTCTTGCTGACCTGTAGCCCCAATAGCCTGAAGTCTCAGTTTAACCATCTAAGGCCAAAACCTTCCCCACATGACTCCATGTAGGAGGAATTGATGAAATATAATCCAGTTCCCATGAAAGTGTTTCCCTTTCTCCAGGGACAACCACCCCCATGTCTGTAAGGCTCAATAACTTGAGATCCTTTGGTCAGTCTCATTCTTGAGCCTTCCAGCCCTCCCATCTGGAGGGCATTAATAAACCTGCTCCTGATAAGTGTCTTTTGTGTTCCCTTTTGAATTCTTTCTCTAATGAGACCAAGAACCTTTTGACCCCCAGACCCAGTCTCCCAGACTGGGACCTTTAGGAGGTGATTAGAGACCCCACAAATGAATCCTGATGGTTGTATAAGAAGAAGAGAGAACAGAAAAGACACACAAACACATGTGTGCTCCCTGACTCTTTCCATGTGATGCCCTTCACTGCCTCAGGACTCTTCCAGGAGGAAGGCCATCACTAGATGTGATCCCTCAAATGGGGACCTCTAGAACAGTGAATCAGAATAAACCTCTTTTCTTTATAATTTACCCAGTCTGATATTGTGTTACTAGCAACAGAAAACAAATGAATACAGAAGGTATTAGAAACTCAACTGAGTTTTAGTTTTCATGTGAAAACAGAAGTGAATAAATACATGTTTCAATGAATGTGAAGGTTTGGCTAATTTTTACTCCAGATGAGATTATTGACTGGAGAATACTCAGCTCCTCAACAAAGTATGCCATCAAGCAAAAATAAAGCTACTTACCACTCATTGAATTCCTATGTCACACCAATAGAATTATATACACAAACCATAAATCTCTTTGCAACTTTGCAAAGTAGGCATTACTATTCACAGCTGAGAATATGAGGCTTGTCATCACACAGTTCATAAATGGTAACATCAGTATGTAAAACCACACTGCTGACTTCCAGGATTTTGTCTGACATGTAAAGAAGTCATGACTTCCATCCTCATAACAAGAAAAAAGCTAGACAAAGTAAAACTTAATAATTATTCTTAGATCAGTTAGAGAACTGAGTACACATACTTTCTTCAAAGGATTTCCACATGACTTTTTTTTTTTTTTTTTTGGTAGTAGTGGGGTTTGGAACTCAGTCCTTTTTGCTTGCTAGGCAGGCACTTTACCACATGAACCATACCTGAGCTTTTCATCTTTTAATGATTCATTTAACATTCTCTGCCTGGTCTTCCCAGATTATCCAAGCAGTTAAGTGTACCTTCTCATTGTACCTCCTCAGACTCCTGGTATATACTAACCACACATAATGTGAACACTGGTAATACAGTGTCAGAAAAAATTCACTCTAATTGCCTAGTTTTTCTGGTATGACAGACATTAGGCAACTGTATTAATGATGAGATACACTTCTCTATGTAGAACTTACAAAGAGAAAGGTTTAGACAACCTGTTAACAGCACAACTTTAGATTCCTCTGCCAGATAAGAGTAATAAAATGGGGCCAGTAAAGGGCTTCATTGAGGAGAGTAGTGAAGAGTAGGGGCGAGGTAGCAAATCCCCAATCTAGGAATGGATAGGAGACTGCCACCTTCCAACATCAGACCTAGTGAGGGGTTCTAAGTGTATCATTGGAGAGTGTTTCTTTTAGTAGAAGAAAGAGATTACTAGTGCTTGATCAATGCCTGAAAAAGCCAAAGCACAACGTTATCCTGGGAGATGATTCCTGGCCAAGGAGTCCAGAGGACAAGACTTCTTTTATGATGAACTTGCCAGGTGTTGTCGAACTGAGATTGACTAGCACTTTAAAGGCAGTCAAAGAAAGGGATTTTTCCCATGGAGCATGTAGATGACCTGGTGAACCCCTATCATAAGATTGTTTTGAATCCTGTCCAAGAGTACTGCCTGAAAGGTGAGTTTATCTAGCAGAAAGACGTTAGATGTACCTACATGCTGAAGAAGAAAATGACAAAGTATTAGAATAATGACCCCCAGTGCATCCTACCTGTCACCTTTCCCCTTTGCAATGTAACTTTTCTACTCTTTCCATCTATAGGTGGAATGTATTTCCCTACCCTTTGAATATGGCCTTGTGACTTTTATGAACAATAATCTTAGCAAAAATGACATTGTGAGACTTTCGTAGCATTTGGAAAGCTTCCAGTTAAAGATTCTTTTGAAAAGAGCTGGTATGAAAATTTCAGTATATAACCTGGGGCATGTAATTAATGAGTCAAAGTGAACACGTTCAACTTCAGCCAATACTACTAACCACTTTTGTAAGGTGATTGTATCAATTTATATTACCTGTAGAAGTTCAAGAGTTCTACAGTACTCCATCTCCTCCGTTTTATATTTTCTGTTTTTACTTTAGTCATTCTGGTAGGTATGCTATCTAGTGTGCTTTTATTTC